CCCTCCCTTCTCCATCCGCGCCCCGACAAGAATGACGAAAGTAGGATTCAGGGGGGCGCAATCGCCTGCACTCGGCGATATAATTGGACGTCCGATCCCGAAATAACAGTCCAGACGTCAGGCGGACCTGCCCCGCCCCCGCACTTATCAGCCGAGCTCATAAACATGTTTGAGTCCATTCGGACCAAAACCAAAAGCGACGACGGCCGGAGGGGGCGGCGGGGGCGGTCTAGACGACTTATCAGCCGGCCAGCGATAACAACACCCACACCACACACCACAAACAGATCGCTTTACTGCTGGACCAAACACGTTAGGGCAACAGAGGCGGGACATCGCGTGGACCAGCTGGGGCGGCGCGGAACGCGGCCCGTGGGCGCTATCCGCCAAAGTCCGCGGTATCTGAGCACGCTGTGTACGGGAGCCCACCCGCGGGCCCGGGCCCACCCATGGGGCAGGTCAGGCAGAGGGGGCGTGTGGCATCACCAGTCCAGGGGGCAGCGGCGGCGCGGGCCTTGAACTTGGCACACTACTGTATGGGAGATAAAGACGTATATCGCCACTCACTTTCCTTACGCAAACAGGGTGGCACGGGGACGACAGGGCGCTACTCGCGTGCACTTGGCCTCGGCGGGAAAAAAAGAAATAATAAAAAGCAACCGCAGCCGGGGGCCCGTCCTCCAATCTGAATCCGCTCTGGTGTGTGCGCACGAATAACCAACCCACAGGGCCAAGGCGAGAGAGGAGAGCCGCGCCAAGGGGACCTAGCGCGGCGTGGCGTGGCGCGGCCTCAAGGGGTCAAAAGTTGGCCCTCTCAGCTGATTCGAACCCTACCCGGCGGGTCCGGCCGCGCGCCCGCGCCCCGCGCTGTGGGGAGCGGGCCAACGCGCTCTTAGCGCCGCGGCTCAGCGCCCTTGTCCCCCCGGGGACGGGAGCCAAGGTCAAAGCTAGCTCCCGACGCGCCGCCGCCGGCCAGCCCGAACACTACTCTACATACTTCCTACCGACCGACGACACAACAACGCCCCCCTCCCCCACTTTACACACCACACCTGACGAGGAATGCATATTTCATCACACGGAGCACGAGGGCCGGGGCACGTCACCAGGCCGACGACGCGACGACGCGGAGTCACAACCAGCAAGACGACAGCATCGCCAGTTGCATCCGCCTTGCGCCATTCCGGTTTCACTTTCGCGAGCCGGACCGATGCAGCAAAGGTAGCAAAGGCGGGCGGGGCGAGTTAAAGCGGGTCCAACAGCTGTCATCACACACAGCCCGCGGGGACGACACGACCTCAGAGGTCGCGGACGAGCTCCCAAACAGACACCTGCCCGAGCACCTGTCGGCGATGACTCACTGACAACGGCTACCAAGCAAACGAGATACGCGGAAGGGGGGAGGTCCACGCTGCGATTTGAAGACCAGGAGAATGACAAGCACCGTCCAGGTGAATACACGAGACGCGATACGAGGGTCACAGCCGAGTGCGAGGGAGAGCGTGAACCGTCCCGCACATCACTCACCGTGGGAATTTGAACTTGACAGAGATGCAACGAAACGAACTGCCCGCTTGCCGTCAGACGACTGTGCCAGGCCGAGCCAGGCGGCACCCGCTATATATGAGGAGACACAGCGGTCAGCTCACCTCCCCGCCCCGCCCCTCCCCTTCTCCTCCCCGCTCTCCACCACCACCCAGCAGCGCGCTCGGCGCGGGGGGCGGCGGGGCTGGCGGGGGGCACCAGACCAGGGGCACCCCGACAACAGAGCCGAGGGGGAATGGACCACAAACACGAGAAATTTTCCCCCATGGCCATAATCAAAATCGAACAGCCAAATAAGAAAGACGAGCCGTCGGTCAGTCGAGTCGAGATGTCAATAATCCCAGCAGGGGTCAGAGGGGTCAGAAATGCAGGGGGTCGGATGACACATATGCCACCAAATTTTCTTTTTTCGTTTTCAAGAAAATAAAAAATGGTATGAGATTTAAGTATTTTATCATCGTCTGGGTCAGTTTCACAGTTTCACACTCCAACTCCCGCCCCGCCCCCGCCTTTA